GTCCAGTCGTGTCTGGCTCTAGGGGGCGGTGCTCATCTGTTTCCAACCTGTGGAGTTAGCATTTTGTCTGAAGACAATCTTCCGTGGTCACGTGGCCAGCGCGACTAGACACGGAACACCGTTACCTTCCCACCATGGTGGTACCTATTTCTCTCCAGTGGTGGCCCGCTTGACGACAACCCTGCTTGATGACGAAATCATTTGATGACGAGTTTTTTGCGATCGCTATAGCAATCGCAAATTGATGGTTCCTATGGGGTTTTTTTTTTTGCTTTACGTTGATTAGGTGCCTGCTTCGCGAACTGTTTGTTTGCAAAACAATGTTTTTTCTAGCTCCGCAAAATGGCTTCCCTTTGCAAAATGGCTTCCCTCCCTTTGCAAAATGGCTGTTTTCTGGACAGAAGCTTTGGAAGACAGAGATTTTAAACAGCTGATTGGCGGTTCTCTATGGACGATCTTCGCTGGACGATGAGGTATTTCCCCATTGGAACGCATTAACCGGTTTTCAATGCATTCCAATGGGTTTTTTTTTTTTTTTTGCTTGACAACGATTTCACTTAACAGCAATTTTCTTGGAATGGATTATTGTTGTCAAGCGGGGCACCATGGTACTCACATTTGCATGCTTTAGAACCGCTAGGTTGGCGGGACCTGGGACTAGTGACAGGAGCTCTCTCCGTCGCGTGGATTTGATCTCACGACTGCAGGTCTTCTGACCTTGCAGCACAGAGACTTCTGCGGTTTAACCCGCAGCACCACCACGGTTTAACCTTATGCTTTATCTAGAGAAGAATACTCTGCAATGCCTTGTCTCTCATCATGCTTTTTTGATACACTGAGTTTAGATAGGAATATTCAACCCCTCTAAGAATTCTCACATCTGATGCAGGACATTTTCCCCCTTTGTAGTGGCTTCAAGCAATTTTGTACAAAAAAAAAATAATTATGCAAAATGGCTCTTGAATACCTAGAGCATGTGCACAAAATACAAACCTCATTGGTGCAGTGGTTAAACTGCTGCACTGCAGTTAAGCCTCTATTCATAACCCGAGTTCGATCTCAAAAACTCAGCCTTCTATCCTTCTGAAGTTGGTAAAATGGGTACCCAGCTTGCTGGAGGGTAAAGTTGTTGTTTGCACAATTATGTTGTAAATTGTCTACAGTATGCTTTAGCATTACGGGGAGGTGAGATGGTGCCTAACACCAGTGAAATTCAATTTATTAAAGAAAACTATCATCTTTATGCTGGAGATGTAGAAAGAAAAGAAAAGAAAAGGGGATGTATTTACATATGTGGCGGACTTGTGAAATAAGGAAGAAAGAATAGCCAATGATCTCTAAAGATATTACCGAAATAATGGGTAACTGATGTACAAATGTCCCCAGTGATAGCTGTGTTGAATACGATTAATAACAATCAATTAAAGGCAGAAGAAAAGGAATTAATTATTATTATTATTATAGTAACTGTGACAAGGCTGATATTTGCAAAGTATTGGAAAAATGACACCCAATTTAACATGGAAGAATGGTACAAAGAACTGTGGAATGTGCTCATTAATGACAAATTAACCTATGAAACCAAGAGCAGAAAAGGAATATTGAATATTAATGATTTTTAAATAAATGCAGAACTCATTTCTGGTATATATGTTTGAGCAAAGGAACGGGTATAAACCCCTGGAGAAGAATCAATGTATTTCTGGAGAAAAAATGGGCCATTATGAAACATAATATAAAATAAAAATGAAAATTAGTGGGGAGCAACGAGTTGATAATTGTGGGGTTATTATTATTATTTTTTTAAAAAAATCTTTTTACATTGATATGTTAGTAGTGTTTTGCATATTTGTTATTGTTATTGTATTGAACATTAAAGACTCCCTGGAAAAGACCCTGATGTTGGGAAAGTGTGACGGCAAGAGGAGAAGGGGATGACAGAGGATGAGATGGATGGACAGTGTCATGGAAGCGACCAACATGAATTTGACCCAACTCTGGGAGGCAGTGGAAGACAGGAGGGCCTGGCGTGCTATGGTCCATGGGGTCACGAAGAGTCGGACATGACTTAACGACTAAATGATGACAACGGGGTGAAACCACAGCAAAAGGGCCGGTTGGTTCTTCCTAGAGACCCATGCAAAGCTTCAGTTCTTAATCATCCATGCCACATATAATGCAGATTTTTAAAAGGTAAATGACCACCAATGTCTAACTTTGAGTACAGTAGCTGACAACAAATCCCCCCCAGCTTTGTCTTTTTGTTTGGTGAGCTTTTTAGGGCTGCGTCATCTGGGCAATTTTTTAGGTTTTTCTCCCAGGTTCTCACGTTTTTTTGGCACATCACCTTTCCTGAAGCGAATCCAAAAGGCAGCTGTTAAAATTAAATAACGCAGCAGTGCAATTTCAACTCAACCTGCAGGCAAGGCAAGAAATTGTACCCAAATAATTATGCTACCGTACCAGGGTTTCTTTATTATTTTTTTAAATGAAAAGATCCCGTCTCTTTAACTTCTCTGCGGTGAGTCAAGCGACTTCAAAAAATAACCAGTGAAACATTTATAGACTTCAGTCTGGACACCAGCACAGAGAGCAACATCACAATTAAAATACTGTGATGCACTCCACATGGAGATACCTTTGAAAAATACTCTGGAACTGCAGCTAGTCCAACATATTAGAACCACTTGACGGAGAGCCAAAATGTTGGAGTGAATTTCTCCTGTCTCTGTTGGCCAAGCAGTTGCTTAGGGACTCCAAGATCTGGGCCTAGAGGATAAGAGCCATCCAGAAAGACCGTCACACAGTCTTTCCACTCAGTAAGAGAAGTACGCAAATGAGACGGATCTTCTCGGAGGTGACGTCAAAGCTGCAGAACTTTCTTTACAAAGTACTCTTAGATACCTCTTGAAGACAAAGTGGTTTTCTCTTATCGTACTTTGTTTAGTTTTATTTTGTTTCAGCCTTCCCTGAATGCATGAGTTTAGTCAAATCTCATTTGTATTTTGCATGAGAACTGGATGCCATTTTAAGCTGTCACTTGTTCCCCAAATCTTCCCATTAAAGCTATAAGGTTTTCTTTGGAATTTCTTGACGGTAAAGGCTGCCTGAGACTAGAATGGATTACCAGAGAGATCTTCTGTGTCGGAGATCCAAATGAAGTGGGATGGGCAGCTCTCAGGGTTGCCTTAGTTATGGATTCCCTGCAGTGGCTGGGGATTGGATGACCCTGATGGCGCCTTCCAGTCTTATCAGTAGCAAACGCAGATATTGTGCCTGCTTTATGAGACAATGCTAGCCCTGTTTAATTTTACTCGGTAATCCTCGAAAGCCATTCTGGAAATTATGCAATTCTATATAAAAAAAGGTTTCAGTCAGTAAATACACAAATTGACCTGCATCCAACTGGTAGCCCCAATTAGAATAGACCCGTCGAATCAAGGGGACAAACTTTGAGTCATAATCCAGCAGTTGTTTTCATGGTTCTGCTCTAGGTGGGGCTTCCAACTAGATTTTGGCTAGGGGCTGGCAGATGGAACAGAGCAGCAAACCAATATGGAGCAAGAGTGGGAAATTGAGTCCTAGGACTCATTGTCAAGTCGGACTTAAGTCGCACCAGCGACGTGACTCTGATTTGACCTGTTTTTTTCCCCCGCCAATGACTTCGACTTGATTTGCAACGTGGAACCCACCCACCCTCTCCCTTTTTCCTGGGGTAAAAAAAGCTTGTTTTTAACCCACCCTCTTTCCTGGGGTAAAAAAAGCTTGTTTTTAACAGGGACTCGGGACTTAGGACTTAGGGTACCAAAGACTCAGAGTTGGGATTGGGCCTAAAAACTTGCCAACATTACTGGCATGAAAGTAAATTTTTGAGGGAGAAGATCATACGCCTTTCTGAGACTGCATCCTCCCTAAAATGGAAATCATGCCCACAGTTTAAAATAAAATGAAATCACAACAGAGACATAGTCTTGTCAACCAAGGAGATTCAGAAGATTTTTCTCTCTGTGGCTGATGATCAAGTAGCCCTTTGAAGTTTTGCTTTTTCCTACAAGCAGAGAGATACGGGGGCGTAGGGAGTGTTCAGTCAGCTTGCCTGGCTAGACCCCAAGGTGATTCCCCTCCTTCACCCATTGAAAACACTTCAAATAGAATATCCGTTTTCTCATACACCGTTTCCATTTAACTCTCTGATCACCAAGAAGGTAAGTCAACCGTAGCTGGGGTTTCTCTTCAGCTTCTGAGCTGACATTCCAGTCAACATCCTTCCTTTTAATTTAAGCATCAGAAATTCAACTTGAGCTCTCTCGTAGCAGTAAACCTAATTATTTCGGTTCAGAGAATAAAGGGCTTCAGCTGCAGATTGCATTTGACCAAGAGATAAACAGACAGATAGGCAGACGGAGAGATCTTTTAAAATCTCCAGTCCTATGGAACAGAATGAATTCATTTTAAAGAACAACCCAGGCTGAAACAAAAGATCGGTTTCACTGGATTTTGCAAAGACTTCCTTTCCAAAAACTGATTGGGATTCACACGGCATAGCTAGAAAGGGAGGGAAGCCCTGCTTGCTTTCTATGTTAATCCAATTTAAAATCGAGTCTAGTTATATGTCCAGGTGCTTCATTCACATGGACTGGTACGCTTGAGTGGGCAACAAGAACATGCAATATGGTCTTGCCTCCTCCGCCATTTCTGAATTCAGCTTGATCATTTGCCCTTTCTTGTTCTGTAGATATGGTAAAAGTCTTTGTTGAGAATCATTTTGCTTGCATGGAAATTGCATGGAAAATTAATCTGCTGGTTCCTCACTCTTTAGCATTCCCCCCCTCTTTTTGAGATTGGAATGTTTTATTATTTATATTGGCTGGATTATTCTTTTTTTATGATTCTGACAATTCAGTCAGTATTGAGTGCTGTGGAGGGAAGAGACACATACACGCGACTCGTCTATGGAAGTAATTTAAGAGTAATTTAGTAGAAGATTAACTGGTGCTTACCTGTTGCACTATGGTTGTTAGTTCCAGGCACAGTTGAACAATGTTATTTTTCAGCAGTGAGTATTCTGTCACGCTGACAAATGGAGACCTATTAAGAAGAGGGGATTTTAAAAAGTTATGAGTGTTCTCATTTACTATTCCTGTATTCAGACTAACATTGTAATGAACATGTACTCAGCATATTTCCTATAAGCAGACTGTGATTAATGAATGTGTACACACTGATCTGTCCTATTTTGTGTAGCATTAATGGAAATATGCCAAACTGTAAGTCATAAAAACAGGGGCGTCGAAGAATCTGGAAGATGGGCTCAAGTGGCTAGATTGATCGTTGACTCTTGTCGTTTAATGTTAATAACAGGAGCCCAGCACTAGGTAACAACCAGATGACCCTGAATCTGGATTAAAAGTTCCGGGATTGAAACCTCTACAATATCCTTATCAGCAGGCATGAGCATGGAACAAAACACAATTAATAATAATCTTAGAACTGAAGAGCTAGAAGGGACCCTATAGATCATCAAGTTCAGCCCTTGTCAAGGAGAGGCAGTGGGGAACTGAACAGAGTCAGAGGCCTAAACCACTGAGCGATCTATATTATTTCTTCATTCGTGTAAAATAAACGGTGACTCAAACTGGAGATGGGCATTCTGCTTCATAGGTGTTCCAGAACCTCTAAGAGTTAAGTTCAGTCTTCAGGGAGTTCCACTGTGCTCATAAATCTGGACTTCTGGATGTCAAGACAGAGCGGATTAATGATATGCACTCTTCCGATTATGTATTTTAACCCCTTATTTTTAGTGATTTTAAAAAAGAGAGAGAACACCATGATAACCATTTAATAATTTCACAAAAAGGTAAAACTATTATTGTCGCATTTCAGAAGTTCTCCTTTCCTGGGGGAAACTCTTGAGAATGTTTCTATAGAATCCCGTCCCCAAGCAAAACTATATCAGGGTCAAGAACCATGTCAAGACACACAGTTTTAAGATGCAGAGCAGCTGTTCATTAAGATGGATCTTAAACGCATCTCTCGATCAGACAATAGCAAAGTGTGCTGCTTATATACTGCTCTGTAGTTTCTTTCTCCAAACCTTTATTGGCATAAATACAACTGGGATTACTAACAATAAACACAACGGGTTATAACTTGGAAGTTAATTTAAGAATCTCAAGCAGAAAAATAGCGACAGCTTCAGTGATACGGGAGGAAGAATCATTCAGAAAAATCTCAGGGGTGTTCGGCAGGGAAGATAACCAGGGTTCTAGTAGCGCCTTACGAATGGAAAAATGAACTGAGCAGAAAAACAATATATGGTCAAGTGGATCTTAAACGCATCTCTCGATCAGACAATAGCAAAGTGTGCTGCTTATATACTGCTCTGTAGTTCTTAAAGCTCTCTCTGGGTCGTTTACAACTTAATTATACAGGCTACCCATTGACCTCCCAAGCTGGGTACTCAGTTTACCAGCCTTGGAAGGATGGGAGGTTGAGTCAACCTCAAGCCGCCGACCTGAGCCCACGATCGAACTCAGGTTGTGAGCAGAGTCTTGACTGCAGTATTGCAGTTTAATCAAGAATCCGTGAGGTCCGCAATATGGATGTATTCTCTCACATAATTCTTGGGTGGGCTTACTTCCATAGGATCCCTTATATAAACACTGTGTGCTATATGTAAAGTAGGGTGGAAAACCTTTAGTCCTCTGGCGGTTTCGGACCTCAGCTCCCAGAAGCCCTGGACAGAGCAGCCAATGGGAAAGGATTGTGGGATTTGTAGTCCAAAATGACACACTTCTCTCTTTTGCTTCCCATTTTCTCTCTTAGTATGAGCAAATCTGAGAACCCACTTTTAAACACCCTCTGCTCCCTCCTCCATATAAAAAACTACTGACATGGGGTCTGTTTAAGGCGAGATTTGCACACAGCCCAACGGTTTTATCAAACTACTGGCATTTTAAGAATAGCTGGAGAGTTTTGTGCAGTGTCCAATAAGAAGAAATAGTTCTTTCTTTTTTAAAAGAAAAAGTAGTCGCAACTCTAGAAATGAATGATCCTGGAAAAACATCCATTAGCACAAGGTGGGTATTGATCAGCAATAAGTCACTTGCAAATGTGACTTGCAAATGAAAGATGCTTTTGTTAAGTTTAATTGACGGCATATGTCTGGAACGAACTTCCAACAGAGGCTGGCCAGGTGCCTTTTTTCAGTTTTTAAGAAATTAGTTAAAACAGAATTATTTAAAGCTGCTTTCTATTGTGCCCGAATTTTGGTCACCTACCCTTTTACACTGTACTCTTGGATGAACAAATTAAGGGTGACCTGATCCATCCCCTGCTACATAAATTTCAAAGTTGCTCACCTAAGTGGCTGATCTTGTACTGCTTGTTAGACCAGAACTCTCACCTAACAGCTCAGGTTGCTAACTTTTTCTTTGCCACAATTTGCAAAATGACGACATTCCTTGCCTATTGAATATTATACATGCTCCTTATTTTCCATCCTTTACCCCTTTGTTTTTCTCTCTTTTGTACTGGCTTTAATTTCTATATGGGTCATATGACTATAATAAACTTTATAATAACAAGAACAACAACTAACTATTGGCACTGAAAATACAGTTCAAACATTCAAACAGATGTACGTTACAGTCCTCTACATGTGTGTATGATGTCAAACTATATACGAATAATGTTTTTCTGTAAGCACATTCACTTCAAAGTTACTCCACCAGAGAAAGGTAACATGGTAGGACTCTAGCTGTCCATCTATATGGGAATACATGTTTGTTGCAGGAGAGAAGGTCTTCAGATGAAATTGGCTGGATAATTCGGTGATGAGAGATCAGTTACTATACTGTGCCTCCTGGGAGAAAAGCCAGCCTGGGTGGCCCTGTGCCAGCTGCACATTCCCTGGACGCCTCCCGAAGAAGGGGGTGGGAAACCACTTCTGAGTATTGTCTACCTGGATTGCCCTGAAAAGGGATGCCATGTCAAAATTGACTTGACAGCATGCAATTATTATTTGAAGCTATCAAAGAAACCAGGGTGCATTCTCATGGATGATTAAATTGCTGCCTGTCTGCACACACACGTATACACAATTCTTGGCCTCAGAATGTAAGCTAGGAACCCTGTCCAAGCCCTGGAAGAGCAATGGCCAACGTTGGGCTAAAAGGGTTCTGCAATGTTGTTGAAGGTTATAAAATTCAGGAACTGCAGTAGTGGGAGAAAAGATTCCTGGCTAAGAAAAATGTGCTTTTTGGAGTCTTACAAACTGAATTGCTGCTTATTATCCCAACTAAAGAGAAGTTGAGATTGTTCCCTCAATTGCCTGTCTCTGGCAGGCGAATCTGCCCACTTCAACAAGGTCTGAATTTAGCATCTCAAACTGAGTTGAGCTGAGCGCATTTTTCAATTCATTTTTTTTCTGTACTGCCAACAAAAAACAACAACCACCTCTCCTTTCTCAGATTCCTTTATGAAAATACTTGCCTACTTGTTTCAGTTACCTTCACTTGCCCTCATTTACTCTGGGTGACTTAACAAAATCTGGCTGGTTATTTAGGGATAGCTGGAGAGATAAATGCCTCAAACAGGACGATGTGACATCAATCTCATTTAACACATATGCAATTAACTCAGAAACAAGGAAGCTATAATAGATAAGGATAATGGGACAGAGGGAACAGCAAGCAGGGGGTATTAATGCTGAAAATATTTGCACAATCTAATCAATTGGAGAAGCGGGCTACATGTTTATATGTAGGCTCCTGGGGATGGAAGAAAGCCACATGCCATTTTTCACTTTCTCGCAATGCAGAATCACAGAATCATGGAGTACGAAGGGGCCTTTAAGGCCATCAAGTTCAAAACTCTGGAGAGAAGAGTGCAGTGGAGCATTATGGGAAATTTAAAACAATGGGTGGCTTGCCTGACTCAGCCACTTGGAATTCTCCTGAGGGCATCCCATAATGTTGAAATAATCCATCAAAGGGTACCCAGTTGGTGCGTAGATTGATAGACTAGGATTCTAGAGACCGGGGTTCAAATTCCCACGACCATGGAAACTCACAGGGGGAATGGAACTGGTAATACTACCCCTTAAATATCTCACTTATCCATTAAAGGTGGAGTTGGATTCCCCACTGGGCCTCCTGAGGGAAGCGCCAGCCTGGGTGGCCTTGGGCAAGCTGCACAGTCCCCAAGGCTGCCCCTAGAGGAAGGGAAGGGTAATGCACTTCAGAGTATTCGGTACCTACAAAACCTGGGAAATGGCAAGTCAAAATCTCCTTATCGGCAGCTGGTGATGATTATTAAGGAACTTAGACTTGGTGTGGAAAAAGTAGATGGAGAGAAGTGTTTTTCCGTCATAATACGAAAACCCAGCAGGGTCATTCAATGAAGCTCTGCTGTAAGAAACCTGAACCAGATTTTTAAAAAATACTTTTTCACACAATGCGCTGCGAAAAAGTGGAATTCCCTGTCACAAGAGGGCAGCCAACCTGGACAACTGTAAAAAGAGATTAACTAAACCCATGAAGTTTAGGGACATCAGTGGCTACCGGTCTGGATTCATCTCTTTCACCCCCAGTATCAGAACCTGCACACCTCTGCAGATCCGTTCGAGGGTGCAATTGAGTTACTGTTGGACTTGCGGGGGGGCAGCTGGTGGCCCACTGTGTGGACAGAAGGTTGGGCCACAGATACTTTGGGATGTGTGTGTCTGATCTTGCTTATTGTGCTTGTGTTTAAATAATTGGCAACAGTTTACGGCCTTCCCTCCGAACAGTCAACGCCTTCCCTCCGAACAACCAACCAGGACACATTTACATGGGAAGGAATAAAGAAAGGGGCCAAGCGGTGGTGAGAGAACCTTAAATCAGTCTTGTTTTGGTACAAAAGAGAGACACCGACACCACTTACCTGTCCAGCCATGCAAGCAAGTTCTTGGCAGCACCAATCAGGTCAACCACAGAGGTAAGGAAATCGTTTGGCAGTCTTCGGGAGGCTCTGCCGTCGTAATGGCCGCTCCTCCTCCTACCCGTTATGAAATTCTGGAGGTTTTTGGCCGACGCGTTCAGCTTGTGAGAGAGAGTCCTCAGGTTTTCCGTCTCTAAGCCGTAATTCTGAAAGCAACCAAGAAGGATCGGACATCTTAAATGGAGGGGAAAAGATGATTACCAAGAGTTTACATTTGTTTCGATTGCAAAAAATGGTTGCCAAAGTTAGTGATGCAGTTGCTCTATCACTTATTTATTTATTTTATTATTTATTATTGGATTTTTATCCCGCCCGTTAACCATCACTCTTCATATGTTTGTGTGGGCGGGGCAATAAGAAAGCCTTCCAATGCATAGCTTTTGCTTTTCAGAATGGGCTAGAATTTGCAAAATTCGAACATGCATTTGGCTGTCCCTTGCAGATGGGTAAGCATTCCATTTTGGTTTGTTCTTTATCAGAATTTACAAAATCTGAATATGGAAAAATGCCATCGTAACAGATTTCAGCCACTGCTTCCTCTATTCATCGACCCTTCTCTGACTTCACCGCCTTATTTGGTTCAGAGGGTATTACTTTCACATTTTTTCTCCCTATCACTCCATTCTGCTTCTGGTTTAATTTGCAAATTATTTTTATAAGCAAAAACCCTCTCAAACTCTGTATGTAAACACTCATGCAAATGTGTGTCTTCTGTCAAAACACTGTTTATTTTATTTTCAAATTGCAGTAGTAGGACAACGTCAAAAAGAATTCAGCTAAAATATCAACTTGAAAATAAAAAAAGAAACACAAGTATAACATAATGGTAAACTCCTTCTTAGTACTCTTTACCTGAAAATCCTGGAAAGGGTCACCATAACTCCGAATTGACTTGAGGGCATATCATACATTTTTAAAACATACATTTTCAACTCTGAGCTACCCACCACCGTTGGGACTAATTTACTTATTTATTTTATGTGTTGCAGCTGCCCCGTTTCTCTCCAGAAATATAATGATCCATGTCCAGGGGCATAACCTTTTCTTTTCTCAAACACAGGTACCAAAAATAAATTCTGAAACACTTTTGAAATGCATCTCCTGACACTGTACAAATGCCGAGAACTTCATTGCCAAGGCCTGAATCTAACTGTTGGTCCGAACTCAAGTCAACCCATTAAATCAGTGGTTGATTTCAGTATGACAAGCATTACATAAGCATTACAATGTCCTTCAGTTGAATTAGCAACTGGATTTAAGGGCTGGACTTAGCAATGGGATTTGTTTAGTACCTTCTGCAGTTTGGAGAAGGTACTAGATAACTCCCTGTGAGCCTCCACATTTTTCTTCAAATACCCCATTTCCAAACCAAATTGTAATTTAAAGGAAACTTTCAAACTCAGATAGGAAACCATAGTTTGTAGGGAAAACAGTACAGAAGAAAACCAGTGGCCAAGGATGAGGGAAATCCACTCATCTCTACAATTTATTTATTTTTTGGCAAGGAAAATGTTGGTGTCAGGTCTGGATCTGGGGAAAAACTGTAGCATGGCTATATCTAGGGCAGGGAACCAGATCTGACCTGCCAACACACACACCAAAGACCCCAGTCAATTTTTAAAAGAAAGTCTCATAGATGCCCCCCTCCAGCCCTTGACCACCCAAAGAGGGTATGAGAGGTTAGTTCTACAAACCTTTTTAAAAGATAAACATTTTGGAAGGGTGGATGGTTGTTGAGGCTCTTCAGGTACCCCAGAAAGGAAAGTGTTTTAGGAATGGGCATTATGTGTATTGCATTGCTTCCAAGCTCCACTTAACATTCCGAAGAAGATGATGATGGCGGTTTGCAAACATGCCGTTTCACCTGCAAATATTTAGGACTTGGTTCCTAATGGTTAGGCTAAGCCCTTTGGTCTGCACATATGCACCAGGAATGCTTAAAGATGAGAAGTGCCATGTAATAGTAATAATAATTATATATTATATTATATTGCATTGTATTGCATTGTATTGCATTGTATTGTATTGCAGCATTCAAAAAGCTTCTGAAGACTTTTCTTTTTACAGAGAAGTCTTTCTATGCAATACGCCCTGATTCTCTGTCTCCTATTCTGTTCCTGCACTTAGAGAAAAACGCCTCCCCCATTATTAGTGGCATCTGCTTTTATTTGATTCAATGATTTGCTTTTAACTCCCATTCTAAATGTTTTATTATTACATTGTTAACCGCCCAGAATAGCGCTATGTACTAATGGGGTGGGAAATAAATAAATTGCTGTCAAGTCCATTTGGATTTATGGCAAATTTTGCCGGAATTTTGTAGATATTAAAGCAGTTTACCAGCTGTCTGCGGAAGACCTTCTCATCTGAGGACCTTAGTTGACAAGCAGGTTCATACGGGAACTCATCCTCGACTCGGAGGATGGGGAACCTTTACTTCTAGACTACAGATCACTGAATCCCACAGCCAGCGTAGGTGTGGGGCATCTCAGTCTTGTGTAATGCCAACAAAAAGGTGTGTGTTGCCCCTGATCCCTCCCCTCTCCCCTGCTCCTCCTCCCCTCCTTCAGTGTGGTTTGATATTTCAAGAAGATTACACTTTTCATTCTGCGGAGACATAAATACCGGTCAAAGGAAAAAGCATTGGCGCTGAAGGATGAAGTGAAAGAAACATCTCACAGCAAAAAAAACCCGACTGACAATCCAACATCTTCACTCATCGTAACATAAAGTTCATGGTATTTAAAGTGAGTGTTTTAAATAACACCACAGAGCTACACAGGCGTTTGAGATCCATCTACCTCCCCCGCCCCTGCTCTTCACCTCCAGATGCCAAGAAACCGAAGAACATCATTTGATGTTTTATAAAAGAAGGGCGCCATGAACAATTCTGAGTGGACCTATTTGAAATCCAGATGTCTTTTCTTAAAAATAACAGCTAGGACCCCATTGGTGATTGACCCACACTCAAGCTTCTGGCTAATGCTATCCTGCTGGAATTGCTGCTATGGCTTATGACATTTCACTTACACAAGTGTAAACTGCCCTGGAATGCTGTCCAGTAATAAAAAAAGTAGAAAATATATTTTGCTGTTCTGAGGAATTCCCATTATCACTTCTCTCTCTCTCTCTCTCTCTCGTTATGTGAGAAAGAAAGTACAACCTCTTTGAATTCATGCACACCCAAATTTCACAAAGAGAAAAAAGATGCTATAGACATTTGGTAGTAATAAAGTATGCCATGATTTTAAAAAGCCCTTGTCTTGATTTTATGCTGGAGGTGAGATCGTCAACAGGGCCTTGAGAATTTTCAACTGAGACAAGATAACTCAACCATAAATCAGACACTGGAAAAACATCTTCGTACCCTTCAATGCCAAGCAATACTTTTTTCTAGTACAACATTTGCATACCTTATTGCAGTGGTCCCCCACCTTGGGCCTCTAGATGTTCTTGGACTACAGCTCCCAGGAGCCTTCACCACCACCTCTGCTGGCCAGGATTTCTGGGAGTTGAAGTCTAAAAACATCTGGAGGCCCAAGGTTGGGGACCACTGCCTTACTGTACATACTGTAGCTTTAAGGAAGTATTTGCTAAGGTGTAGCAGGGCTGTGGGTGAGCCGGTAAGCCACAACGGCCTTGTCTCCACGATTCTAGCTGCCTTAGCAATCTTCTTGCAGTTAGTGAGAACGTCTGGATGGAATCTCCGTGTTAAGATGGCTCAGATCTCTCTTTTATGGATTTCATAGGGTTTCCTTTTTCTGAATCACCTCCATGCATGAACGAGGCAACCAGTATCTTGTTTACTTGTCAACATGTCCACAGTTTGTGTGAACACTATAGCAGGAACCCCGTAGATGACTGAAGCTGTGGATACAAGGGAACCCTTCATACAACATACAAGGGATCAGGACAAAGGCCACAAGGGAGCACCTTTGTATGCTGTAAGTGAAACTGTGTATATTGATCCCATAGAACAGGAGGTCCTAGTGTACTAAAATATACCAGTAATAAAAATCCATGTACACAAGAATACGAGTGCAATGGCAGGCTGTTTTCCCCCCAATGAGCTTTTCTTCACAGCTGAGTGCTTCAAAAGAAAGCTATACATGGTTGGACCTTCAATTTGTTGGCAGTCTAAAGATCTAGTCTCCTCTTTGGTCTTGGGCACCGTGCTGCCATCAGCTGGAGGTTCAGGCTTCTGACCACCAAAGGTCCAGAATCTGGATGGCATAGCGCTCATTCTTACCATGTTGGAATCTAGGGTTTCTGGCTTGTCTTCGCTGAGGTCTCATCTAGCGGAGCCATACAAATACAGCTTTTCTAATGACTATACTGTCCTTTTGTCCAAAAAGCTACCTTGGGAGAGGAGGCAGAGGAAACATTTTCCAGTAACGCTTCTCTGAGAAAGTAGAATTTGGAGACCTAAGACTAGGCATGACGAGCCGTGCTCTTCTGCAGAAGAAAAAGGAGGGATGATGCCAAAGTTAAAATGCAAGCCCTCGGATCGCTAAATGAGATGTTTTTTAAAAAAAGAGAGAGAGAAGTCTAATAATCAGGAAAAAGTCTTTGCTAAATGAGATGTTTTTAAAAAAAGAGAGAGAAAGAGAAGTCTAATAATCAGGAAAAAGTCTGCTTAAGGAATCCCCCATGTCAGGTGTTATTCATGCCCTGCCAATCTTGTCACTCCACAGCAGGGTTCTTAATTGAGTAATGATGATAATCACATACTCCGTGGGCAAGAGACGGAGATATCTGAGTAAGAGGCAATTGAACCTAACATGACCTAATTTTCACAATGTCTTATCACAGAAACCCACTTCCATATAATTTAAACTTATCATTTTTTGCAGGGGAACTGTCTGGTGGAATTACTGTTCTGTTGACTGCTGGAGTTGCCGGAGTGCAATCCTTTTCACTCTGCTGCTTTATAAAGCTCAAGTTTATTTGGAACTTCCACGGGGTGTAAAGTTTCTGAAATTGTTATGGAGGGAATTGCACAAAGCGTTGGATTGATCTGACAGGCATTTCTCCTGCTGTTTCATGTAATGCAGGGATGGGTAGCTTTGGTCTTTTTTTTACAGTAATCAGATGAGGGAATAACTTGAACAAATCAAGTGCTCCTACCTGCAACATTTTGAGCCCC